ACACACTAGACCAGGTTGCCCAAGGTCCTGTCCAGCCTGGCCTTGAACACTGTCAGGGATGGGGCAGCCACAGGTACTTTGGGCAAACTGTTCCAGTGCCTCACCATTCTCACAGTAAACAATTTTTTCCTTATATTCAACCTGAATCTCCCCTGTGTAAGTTTTAACCTGTTACCCCTTGTCCTATCACTGCAGTCCCTAATGAAGAGTCCCTCTCTGGCACCCCTTCAGGCTCCCTTCAGATACTGGAAGGCTGCAATGAGGTTTCCATGCAGCCGTCTCTTCTCCAAGCTGAACAACCCCAACTTTCTCAGCCTATCTTTGTATGGGAGGTGCTCCAGCCCCCTGATCATCCTCATGGCCCTCCCCTGGACTTGTTCCAACAATTCCATGTCCTTCTTATGTTGAGGACACCAGAAATACATAGTAGATGACAATTTCAGCCAAGAACATAAGCAAATACCCATATTCTAAAACTCACTGCTGTGAGGTCTATGTGAGGCCAAATATCTACCCATGTTTGCTGCATGAAATCTGGGGAACAAGCTAAATATATTGGCTTTTCCAAAGAGCAGAGAGTGTTTAAATCTTTTTAAAAGGTTTGTATGACATAGAGCATAGCCTCACGGGAATGTCTCTCACCTTGTATCTTAACATTGTGCAATAGAGAAATGGAGTAACTTTTACTGCTTTTCTTCATTTTTTTTTTCTTTTGAATTTATCTGGAGACAGGAACAAGGTGTTCTTGGTGACGTGTGGTCACCTCTGCATTTTAAATCTAACCTTTAAACCATGTATCAGGTAATTTTGCTGTGACAGGCTTTTTTTCCTCTGTGTGGGGAACAACTGTATAATTCAGCTTTGTTAATAACTTTTAAGAAGTTGCATATGTGCTAAAGTACTTTGGCAAAAAATAAACACTTCGTAAACTGCAGTAGTTCCCAATTGATTACTATAAGAGAGCTTTGATTTGTAAACTGCAATAGTTCCCAACTAATTACTATTAAAGAGCTTTGCCTTCTTTTACAAATACAATTCAAAGCTTGGGAAATCACACAGCTGCAACTTGCAACTTTCAAAGGCAACTTTCTTTGCAACATGTTAAAAATCATGTAACACACAGATCAGGTGAAGTACTTAGCATTCTGAAAGTCACCACGTGTCTCAGATGTTTTAAAGTAGCTACTAAGAGAAACGACAGCCCAACTAGAAGAGCATTGAGAGCACTTCTGAAAGGTTTTTATTCCCTGTTTTTAGCGCTAATGTGAAGATAACAGTTTTCTTAAGAACAACGAATGCTCAAATTGTGCTTCAGAAAACGCTTATATTCTCTTAGGCGACCCCCCCCCGAAAAAAAGCCACTTCAACTGCCCCGGGACAAAGCTCTCCAAGCCTAGTTGTGCACAGAGGTTCTTTATTACTACAATGAAAACGAGAAGAGACGCCCATCACTAGAAACCACGCTTGCGTGCGGCTGAAACGCCGCTCCCCTTGCCCAAGCGGCAGCCATTGCCACACTCTCAGGGCGCACCAGGCCTTCTGCCTCCCGTCCCCGTAGCTGCCAACGCTCCCACAGCCCCAGAGCCGCGCTCCCCCGCGGCCGCCGGTCCTTCCTTCGGCCGCGCCACCAGCCCAGCACGAAGCCACTGCCGCTCAAAGACCGGACGGCGGAGGAAAAGATAAGGACGGTCGGTACCTGAGCCCGGCCCGGCCGCACCCTCACACACAGCAACACCAGCGCCCGCCACAGCGCTGCCAAACCCCACTCCCCGCAGATGACGTCACCCCAATCCACGCCTGCGCACACAGGACCGCCCCCCCCCCGTCCAAAACGGGTGGTGGGCGTGGCCCCGCTCGCGGTTCTGGCGGGGCGGGAGGAGGTGGAAGAAAGGGAGCGGAAGCAAACGCAGCCCCCCGCGTGCTCTGCGTGCGTGCGCGCGCCGTGACGGCCTTGCGTGACGGTGGCGGGGAGCGCGCGCGCGCTCCCGCCCTCCAGTAAAGGCAGCGCCTATCGCGGGCGCTGCCGCTTCTCCTCCTCTTCCAGCCTGGGAGCGTAATCAACGGCCGCGCCTGCAGCTCCCCGCCTCTCCCCCTCCCACCATTATCCTCCCTCCCGACGCGCCCCCCCCCTCTCAGCCCCCGCCCGCTCGGCGAGAGAGCGAGACGGCGCTGCCCGCTCCCCACCGCGCCGATCCCCTCCATGGAGCTGGCGCCGCCCCACTAAGCCGGAGCTGCCCGCCCGCCCGCTGCCGCTGGGGAGTAGCCGGCTGAGAAGGGGAGGGAGGGAGGGAGGGAGGGAGGGAGGGGGGTGGGGGGCGGAGGAAGGTGGGGTCGCGGAGTGTGTGACACGCGCGGGGAGCGGCGGCGGCGGCTGCGGGCCGCGGAAGGAGGAGCGGGGAGTCCCGGCGCGGCCGCGGGAGCCCCCCGGGGCGGGCGGCGGGAGCTGCCGTAGCGGCTGGGATTTACCGTGGTGGTGGCGGTTGGCGCTGACCGGCGGGGGAGCGCGCCGCGCGGCGGGGACCGTGCCCGCGGTCCCCCCTCCCCCCTCCCTCGCCCCTCTCCCTCCTTCTTCCCTCCCCCCCGCTCCCCCACCCCGGGGCCGCCGCCTCTCGGGCTGATCCCCCCGGGCCGGACCATGGCCGACGACGACGTGCTGTTCGAGGACGTGTACGAGCTCTGCGAGGTGATCGGCAAGTGAGTCCCGCGGGTAGCGGGAGGCGGGCAGGGCCGGGCGGAGCGGGGGAGGGGGCGGCGGTGCCCCGGGCCCCTCCCGCCGGGCGCGGGGGCTGAGGGATGCTCTCTCTGCCCGGGACCCACCTGAGTTGCCGCCGGCGGGTTCGTGCGAGCGGCGCCGGGTCCCGGTCGTCCCCGCCTCGGCTGGTGGCGTTGGCACGGCGGGTGTCTCCGCCGCGCTGCCCACCGTCGTTATGACAAGGGAGGCGGAAAGGGGAGAAGTGACCCGGTGTTTCCTCAGCCACCATGATTAACCACCTAACCGTCGCTCAGGCTGGCTGCAGCAAGCGGCAACCACTTCCCACCCCCTTTCTTCTCCTCCCCCCTATATCCCATTCCCGGCACACCCATCAAGGATTGCCTATTGGGGAAGGGAAAGGGAAGATATCTCTCCGTAGATCCACCTATTCACTGGGTGTCTGCATGTTGGTGCGCCAGGTGTTGTTTTTTCCTCTCCTATGCTGCATAATAACCAGCTTGTTAGTGGCAGCTCGGGTAGTGCTCGGTTTTCGTCCAGATCTTTCCCTCTACTCTCATTCGTGTGGAAATAGAGATGTGTAAGGCAGTAGGAGTGTTTGGCCTTTTGAGTCTTATTATGCAACTGCTATTAAACCGATGTTCGAGGCTTGCATCTAGCCTAAGAGTTGAGGTAGTTGCTGGCGTTCCCCAGCTGCCTATTTCGGGTTGCCACTGTTACAGGGTGAATGGAAATGACAGTTTAAGTCTCAGTCGGTGTAATCGCACCAAGAAAATACAGAGTCCCCCAGATCATATGGTAATAGCGAATTGAAGCTGAACTCTATTCCTGGCCCATTTTTGTGACTGCTTAGTTTCAAAATCCGTTTTTATTTATTTGTTATCATTCATATATTTTCTGTAGTTGTGTCTGTGTTGCAAAATGCACATGAAAGATGTAGCAATATTGTGACTTTGTAATTTTCTGTGTGTTTCTGATTCCAAACCTGAGATTGCTGTGGAAGCCTTAGTAGTGACACCATTCGGTGTGTTTGGAGTTTTTTCTTCCTGACAATTAATTTTATATGACCAATTGTTCACCATGTTTTGATTATAAACAAAGGATTTTTTCTGCATGTATCCTCTTGCCTGCTCTCCACTGGTATGCTTTTCAGTTTATATCGAGTGCTGCCTACTTTCAAAGCTGGGGTTGAAAATATTCTCGGATTAATCTTTCCTGGCGATTATATGAAAATGTGAGTCCTGGACTTGGCAGGTGACTTTGTTGTCAGCAGAAGTTTCGGCACTCAATTCTGTCATTTCACAATGTATTGCTACATCTCTCAACACAACTTTTTAATACATTGAGCTTAAAGGGCCTTGTTTGCTGCCATAGTCGGTAAGCAGTTGCTTCAGTGTAATGCTGATTGTTGGTGAGGAGCTTCTGTAGCTCAGAAACAAAACTCAGTTATTAAGCATGTTTTGAGGACAATTTTTGGAACGCTCCTTTTATGAGTGGTTTTATGCTAACCACTGCAGTTCACACACTGTTTTATTCATACCTAATTATTGTTAGAAAGAAGGTGCAGTGATTATGTGTGACCGCATACCCGTTTAGAGAATGGATGATTCACAGGAGTCCAGATGTTTGCACACCTCAAATGGCTTTTTTGTTTTGTGATCTGAGAATTTCGAAGAAAGTGCTCAAAAACTGTGGGTTTGGTATTAGCTGCAGAAGTTCCACATGAAATTTTGGTAGTATAGATAGCGTTGTGATGTAACTAGATGTAACAGATAAATACTGAATCACAGTAGCATAATGCCGCCAAGAGTACTGTGGCAAAAACAGGGTGGATCACTGAAAATAGCAGCAGTGATGGTGAGAAGGGCTGATAGCTCGTTGTGATTGCTCAGGCTTTTCCGCACAGATGTCATGTCAGTCCTCCAAAAAAAAAAAGGCAGTTAAAATAAATACACAGTTTCATGAACAGTTGTATAAGGAGTAATTCCTATTTTGTTGCAATACTGTGCAGGTGAATTCCAGGGAACCAGGAATGCAGCACCTTAATTTAGCTTACAGATTTTGGGTACCACCTTGGCCGCCTGGAAGCAACTTGAGGAAAGATGCTGTAAATCTGCTTTCAATTGCTACATATGCATCTTACTAAACCTCTTTCAGTGAAACATCCACTAAATGTCTGCACATTTTTGTGATTTATCATTGATTGATACAGTAATTTAATTCTTGCAAATAGCACATCTGGCCCTGATTTGTGTTTCAGACACATGAAATATTTAACCAGGTAATTTATCTTTCCTGAATAGGTGGTTACCACTGCCATGTAAGGTAGTAAAAGGTATTTTCACAAAGGGTGTGGGAAAGAGATCTTTGCCTGTAAAATAACTGAATATTTAGTCAAAGTTCCCATGCGATTCAGAAGCTAAGTAAGGTGATAGTTTCTTAGCTGACAGTATGCAGTCCAATTTGTTGAGGCATATTCTGATCTTCAGGATAAACTTTAAACACTTTAAAATATAATAAACTGGTAAGACTTCCTTTGTGTAAATGCAGTGATAATAGCTTTTGGTGTGCTGGAGTGTGGAACACTTCCAATATAATTGTATATGAATGAATTGATTGGTGTGACAATGATAAACTGTTTATCGTGTGACATTTAATGTGTTTAGGTTCTGCAAGCATGCATTTTTCATATTGAAAAGAAAGGCCAGGAGGGATAAAGAGAACTTTTAGTTTGTCTCCTTTAGAGAAAAAAAATTAAATAAAAATGAGATCTTCATTTCCATATATTTCCAGTATACCTTTCTGTTGCTGAAAGCTATATGGAGATAAAAATTGGAATAACAATACCAATTTCATGTTGAACTTTTAAAGTGGCATTTATGATCCTGTCATTAGTCATGCAGCTTTATTTTTCCAGGTGTGTTATGTTCTGAGTTTACTGTCTTGTCTTCCGACTTGACTGACACAAACACATTTCAAGCAAGAAGTAAATTGGGATTTCTACACTGGCCTTCAAAAATATGTTAACGTATCTCGGGATAACAGGTGGTGGTGAAAAACACAAACTGGTAGTGATAGAAAACACAGGTGTGCCATTTTTTCCCCTAGACTTTCTTCCAGGTAACTTTGAAGAGGTTCTTCCTGTACATTATCATAGAATCGTAGAATAGGGTTGGATAAGTACATAGTCTAAAATATTTAAGCCTTTTGTTATGTCGGTCACACCATGCATTTGATTGGCAGTTCACAGATAGTCATTCTAAGTGTACTACTTAATCTTTTTATTAACACTTTCACTGAAAAATGCATTTATTTGTTTATAAAACATAGTAGGTATAGTGTTGAAACATCTTGGGTATTCATCTGAGGTGAAAACTGGTCATACGAGCTCCACATACACATAGCAAAAGTTTTATTTATGCCCAAGACAGAATACCTGTGTTTCGTTGGTATTGAATCTAGAAGACAAGAACAGGAGGTACAGTCCTTGTTCTGCAAGGACTTTGTTTTACGTCATGTGGTTTTGAGTTTCTGTACCTCTTAAGATTCATCTCCAAGTATGTTAGCATTAGGGAAGTACTGTAAAGGATTGCAGGCTGCTTAAAATATTCTCCACATTTTTAGTTGTAAATAGTGTGTGATAAAGTTGATAACTGTTTACTCTTGTTAAAAAGGGCATTGATCCCAGTTGAAATCGTTAGTCTTCATATTGTCACTTAAAGTGTAATTTTTGTAATTTTGCCTTCCATTGGTGAATTATATATGAACAATCATTGTGCATAGTAGTAGTGTGGATTTTTTTAGTAGCAAAGTATAATGTGATGATCGGTGCTACTACTATTGTAGTTTTCAGGATGTTCTCTGCAATACATCTGGGATCAGTCTGTTCCTTTGCTGCACTGCATGCTTGAGGATTTTAGTTTGTTTTCATCCCTCCTTCCTCTGTGATAGGATAATTCTCTCTGCTTGGGCTCATCTAGTAAAGAGGAGTTTAAGTGCCTGAAGCCTGCAGGTGTTTCTCTTCAGCAGCCTAGTAGCACTGCTGGAACACTGCGAAAGATGTGCAGGAGGATACAAGGTCTTTAGGCAGGATAGAGGATGGGGTTGTTTTGCATTAAAGTATGAAGGCTTGTATCCTGTTGAAGTTAGGCAAGAGGATGGTGGTTGCAGTTCCATCCTAAGCTCTTGCCTTGACATGGGGATGCTTTATGCTTTAGACTGGGAGTGCTTAGGAAAGAAAGGAGAGAGCTCATGGATTCCTTGTCCAAGGAAAAATATTTATAATTTGAAGTATTGTGATAACAAAACTATCTAGAAGTATTTTGATGGTTTCAGTGATACTTTCTTTTCATTGTTGCCTTCATTTTCTCTGCACAGGAGTGAGAATAGTGTTCACTATCAAATGTACTTTTTCCATATACACTGTTGAAATTTTGCGTCTCCTGGTGAAGTGATGCAGGTAACTGATGGGTATAATTTTGACAAACCAAATGAAAATGTGAAACAGCTGTGTTATGTCACTGTTTGGAAAGTGGGGAGACGGAAGAGAACTTCTCTGGAACATGGAAAGTGATTTGTCTAGTTTAGCTTTTGAGGGGTTTTTAAGACTGTTTGAAATAGACGAGAATGTTTTATTAGTACACTGGTTTCTGTATTACAGTGTTTAAGTGTAATAGATGATAATGAATATTTGATTTAAGCATGAGGTCATAATGTGCATTGCTTCAGGAAAATAATGTTAGATTGTTTGAAGTATGTAGCTGCTAGAATATCTCCTTAGCTAAGTTACTCTGCTATGGATTGAAACTTTAATAGTGACTTGTTTATACTTAAGAGGTTCAACTGTGGCTGAACAGCGAATAATATACCTGGTTGCAGACTACAACATTTTAATCAGTACTCTCCATTTCTGTTGCTTTTTCTAGTGCTGTTTTGATAAGCAGCTGCATTCTTACATAAATCCATACGGTGTGAACAAGACCACTGTAATGACTGGGAAGTAGAGCCTTGCTTAAGACAGACGTTTGAAGGAACTTGATCTAGGAAAATGCAAACTGAGAAAGATCGTGCAAGGGCTTTACAAATACGATTTTGTGCTTAAACACCTAAGAGAAGGAAGCCCTTGAAGGTAAGAGCAGATGAGCAAATGTGTGTAGATTAGTCCCGAGTAGTTTGAGACTGAAAATTAGAAGATTTCAGGCCAGTTTACTTCTGAGATTCTGGACCAGCTGTCTGTAAAAAGTTGTGGGACAGAAAAAAAAAAAAGCTACCTTGTCTTGAGGATTTCCAAGAGTTTGATCTTTTTATTAAAATAGTGTGAAACTTTGCTGCCTTCAAGAATGGGGCCTTTATCCCCGATAATCACTTCAATCAAATACAATGCTTGAGATAAAATGCTCTAGGATAAAGAAATATTAGGGAAAGAAAAGACACATTTTATGTCAATAGAAACTCATCTGCTTGGCTCTCTGTCTGATACAGTGGCCTTTTTATAATCTCATACAGATGTCACTACAATGAAAGGTAATGAAGCAGTATTAATCCTAATATGATGTTTCCAAAGATCACTGATCAGAAACCTGTAGAGCATCATCTAAAGAGTGGTGACTGCAGAATTCTAAGCGGTTGTCCTTAAAAGTAGGTGTTTTATGCCAAATTTGGAGTTGATAAAAATAACTATGAATTGTCCCTTTCCAGTAGTGGGTACTTTTTTTTGTTTTTTTAATAGCGTCTACAGGATACATTAATGTGTGGCCAGGATTGTCATCCCTAGTCGTTTAAAAAGTTAGACTGATCTCTGAAGATAGTGTACCAATCAGTTAATATACCCACAGAAAGAACCTCAAGAAACCCTTTTCTTTTTCTTTGCGTATGTCAGATAATGCATGTAAGGGGACACCTAGGCGAGGCATCGAAAGCGTGGGAAGAGAGAACCTTCAATGTAGCTGTAAACTGAACTGCTTTTTAGAGTGTCAGGTTAGTAACTTCTTATAATAAACTTCTGCTCTATTCAGAGTGAGTTATAGTCTTTCTTGGGAGATGTCTGTTGGGGAAAATAATGCCTCCCTTGTCAGAAAAAGAAGTGCACCACAAGCTTTGGTGTTTCTGTTACAGTAATGTTACTAGTGTTTAAGCCCCATTCTTAGCCAGTATCTTTTTCTGAAATGAAAACAGCTAAATAGTGTTTGGAATAATTTTTGGAGCTTGACCATAAAAGACCTTTGCATCATAGTAAGGGTTTAATTTTTCACTTCAGTTTGTATGAGAAGCAAAGATGTCTTTTTCAGAGAAACAACTAGAAATCTGTTACAGCATAAATTCAGGACTAAAAGGACCAAGAACTATTTCCTAATGTATTCTCAAATGACAGAAGTGACTGTACTTTGGTTAACAAGTGCCTTGTTCTTTTACTTTCGTATCTTTTTGCTAAAATAGTGTGAGCAGGGGTAGCCAGAAAGTTACTATCTACCTTCAGACTTTTATTGCAATATTCAAGGTACAATGGGGCTGTACTTTCCTTCCAGTCTCAGGATGTGTCAGTATTCTTGTATTGTCAATATTTTATCAATTGCTGTATTGACTTTGATGTTTTCAGTTCTTATACACTTACAAAGTTCACTGTGTGCCCCTTAAGTTCTGTGTGTTTTCCTTCCACCGTAGGTTTATAAATAGCATTTGGTTAAATAGATTTTCACGTGGCTCCTTCGCTTGCTTCTTTGGAGTACCTGCAAGCAGTTACGTATGCCACTGGGTAGCCAATTTAATTTTTCATTAACATCCCCATTTTCTAGCTGGATATAAGCAGTTACTCCTAGCATTTAACGCTGAGTACATTTCCTAGGATATGTGAATTAAGAAAGTTGTAAAGAACTTGCTTCTGAACAAAATTTTTAGAAGTAGAAGCTTGGGTGTAAGTGGGCATTTAAACTGGTATAAAATACGTTCTGTTTCAGTTCATTTGTTTAGGAAGCGGTTTCAGCTCAGCTGAAAAACTAGTTTTATCTCATTAAAATGTTAGTTCTGCTGTATTTGAGAATGAGAAACAATTTTAAAGTGTTCCTTTTCTAGGAAACACATGGTTCTTGGGTAACTTCATTTAAACTCACTGTTACCAGGGTTTGGAAGGTAGTTCACATTTCAAAATTTTTGATCCAAAGAGCTCTAGGGGTAGGAAAAAATGTCTTGGCTGAGGCTTTGCAGGTAGAGTGGCCTTTAAGATATTCAGAACTTTATGAAATCCATCTCTAGATGTCTTCTTATGTGAGTATGTGAAGTATCCATTTATTTTTTGTGCTTTCAGAAGTCATCATGGATTTTCCCAGTATTAAATCTGTCGTCTTTAAAGAGGAAAAAAAATAAAAGCAATCTGTACAAAGGTAGTCCCTCGTTCATTGCTCTTTCAAGAGGGGGAAAAAACCCAAATGCACACAAAATACCAACAAACCAGCAAAACCAAACAAAAACCACAAACCAAAAGAGAAAAGTTCTTAGTATTTCTCCTGAAGAGAAGTTTTAACTTGTCCTGACAAGGTCTTCAGCCATGTTTCTCTATCTTCTTTATTCTCCCAGTTTCATTTTGGGGAGAGGGTCTATGAATAAAACCTTTGACTGCTTTCCTGATGTTCGAGCTTGGAGAAGCCCGTCAAAATAGTCTCCTATTAATTTACTTCCACCCTGCTCCAGGGAAATGCTGCAGCTGTTGCTGCAAATGTAGTGGTCAGCTGCCCACTTTTCTCTCTTTTTTTTTTTTCTCTCTTTTTTTTTTTCTTCTTTGTCTCCAGATGTTGTTCTGGATACTGAACAGAGGGAAACAGTTCTGAACAGTAGGAAAGCACTGATTTACATTTGGTTGGAGACATATGTACACCTGTAAGTGGAAGGGACAGTGAGGAAGCAAATGAGGTAATCCTACTTCCCTCTCCAAACCTTCCCTCCACCCCCCTCTTACTGGTTGTGAAAAGGCAATCTAGGGAGTAAGGATGGGGGTAGCCTGGGAAGATTACAAAAAAAAAAAAAAAAGTAGGGAATGATTTATTTTGGTAATAGGATCTTTCCTGCATTGGTACTGATCTGACCTAGTAACTTCCTAGAACAGAGCAGATCTTTGTGGAAAACTTCATGTTTGCTAGGGTTGAACTTGAATCTAGCAGGATGAGATAGGTTGGGTTCAGATGGCTTTAGAGAAAACATCTGTTTGGCCAGCACTGGTCTAACTAGAAGGCAGCTAATTGAGGTTAAGGGAATTGAGGTTAAATCCTGCATCTCCATAATCCTGCAGCCTTTTTAAGAATACCATGATTCCAGAGGAATGCAGTATCTAGTTATAGCTGGTCTGTAGATTCTGTAAACATGGTAGTATTAGCCTTTCTCTTCTTTTTGCCTCTGTGTGAGGCACTGTGAGCATATGAGTTCAATTATGATGTGAGCTGAATTAAGTTTGCTGCTGCTGGAAGAGGGAGATCTTGCTCTAATTATGTGGTTTCATGCCCTGTGATACCCTTCCTCTATGCCAGCTTTAGTATTCATCTGCTCTATATAAGCCAGGTGGACTATGAAAATATTTAATTGTTGAATGGGTTGTTATTCTGATTTCACTGGCTTGACAAGACCTACAATGCAGTCAGGGCTAGCTCAAGGTAGAAAATTTAGGAATGGACGGAGAGAAGCACGCACAACTTCCTGCTTCTCACCTTTGACAACAGTGAACTACTACAGCCATATCATGTAATGCTTTGTTGTTGCTTTTTGTAAAGCATATTTGGCTTTTTTGTATGTTAAACAGAAGGATAGTTTCCAGGCTCTTTTCTGCAGTAATCCAAAAATAGTAAGGAAAGGGAAAGAGTTTTTTGTTTGCTTTGTTTTTTTGTTGGTTTTTTTTTGTTGTTTTTTTGAAGGAAAAAATAAGTTTTAAATTAACAAAAATTACTCATACACACACAAAAGTCACACTTAGTTGCTTTTATGTTATTAATTTGCTTCTTCCTTCTTTCTATACACACAGACATTCCTCATAATTAAAACTAAGCACTAACTTTGTCAGGACCTCACCTTATTTAGGATTTAAATTGAATACACAATAGAGTCAAATTAAAATTAGGAAGGCAAAGTGTGAATGTGGGATTTGTGTTTTTTGAATGTTTGAACTAAGTCTTTGAAGCATATTAGCTTATGACATGGTTAGATGCTTTTGAAGTGTGCATGTATTTTGTTTGGTCCTTCAGGACTTGAATATTAACAGTTGGATGTACTCTGAACCACAAACATGCTTAACATTTGTGAGTGCTTCTAATTTTTATAGAAGCCAAATCTCACTGTGTTTCTGCTGGTTCTGGTGTGATTGTGTGCAAAAGTAATGATAAGATATTTAGGAAAATTGAAGAAATTCAGAATGTTCCTGAGCTACCTTTTTCTTCAGATTTTGTTTTGCTCTAAACCTAAATCTAAAACGTACTGCATTAGTCAAGAACTTGTTTCAATTAAGATATTTGCTCTCCTTCCTTTTTTTAAAAAAAAAAAAAAAAAGAAAAAGGAAAAGTTCTCTATTAGTATATCTAGATCATTTAGATTTAAAAGTACCAACTTCGGCTTACAGGAAACACTGTTTTTCTTTCTATAACCCCCAAGTGAGAGCTAATCTCTTCTTTAGTGTGTTCCTACAAGTGTCTTAATTCCAGAGCTTTGGCACCAGAGAGATGAAAGCAACAAAAGGGGCTTTCAAACTGAAGGTCAGACAGAACTGTTTTGCTCAGTTACAGCTTAAGATTTTATTTATTATTTATATTTTGGGTTGGTTTGTTTGTTTTTGGGTTGTTTTTTTTTTTTTCCCTCTATGAAAAAATGGTTACCTGTTGGATAGGTTTCTCGGATGTTCAGCCCTTAAGGTTCAATTGTCTTTAAAACATGTTCCTCTGTCTTCTTTATTCTTAAAGTAAACACGGTGCTTAAAATATCAGGAGCTCTTTAGCTAATCTTAGATCTTGAGTGTGTCTTTTTTTTTTTTTTTTATTCAGCTGCAGGCTGAATTGGAAGTAATTGGAAAGTATTGAATACTTCATAGCTGTCATTGAGGCAGGATACTTTCTGAACTCTTGCAGACATATTATCTTTCTTGAATTCTTAGTTTTTTAGTTTAAAGTGTTCAAAAGTCTGAATTGTCTGTTTGCTGTGCTGGTTAGGAATGTTTTCAAATAGATTGCTGGCTGTAGAGTTGGTTTCCTTGTGTGTATGAAATAAAATTCTCACAACAGGGACTGGGAATCGGATTTCTTTTTGCTTAGTGAGTATGATCATCGTGAATGTTGCTTTTCCCTTCTTAGTGGTCTGGTGAATATTAAATGTTTCCATAAAACAACAGCCAGCAGTGCTGAGAAGAATACCTTTGTTTCTCATGTATTCTGGTGAGTGTTTTTTCAGGTGCTGCGTGTTAGGGAAGGACTTGAATATGTGCCTCCCAGTTTCAGAGTGAGTGTTACAAGCACTGATGAGAGAGTAGCAGATGCTGCTGCACTGGACATGGACTGACAGTTTGGTTCTGAGAACATGTCACAGTTAGTAGCTTGACAAAATATGTAGCAGAACTGTTGGTTTTGGTGTTTTCCTTAGTTGTGAGATACTGAGCTATTTGTTGCTGTTGAGACAGAACTTTTCATTATGCAAGGATCCTTTTCTTTTAGAATTA